CGGGCCCCCTATCGGCCCCGGCAGGCTCCCCGCCGACCGATAGCGCCAACCGTGTACCCCGCCTCCCTCCCTCCACCGGGCCGGGCAAGGGATCTGGCGCCCTCAGGCAAACCGTGTTTACAGTAACCTGTGGCTTGGCCCCTCTAACTCGGACCTGGGCTTTATCCTCCCTCCCCTAGGGAGGACCGTCTGGGTGCCCACCCCCCAGGGACCTTAGCGCCAAGCCTGCGCCCTTAGGATTTAGCATGTCCCAGACTCCCTGAAAAGGTAAAACGGGAACCGTAAGCCTACTCTAGCTCTTCCCCAGGACGCGATCAGGAGTCTTGAATCCTAACATGTCCCACCCCACCCCCGCCCATCCAGGACCCAGTCTAAGGGTTCAGATGCCAGCTTGACCCCCAGGACCCGGTCTGGAAGTCCAGAAATAGGCATAGCCGCCAGGACTAGGTTGGGAGTTCAGGCCCCAGCATGGTTCTGCAGGCTCCAGTGTAGGGGTCCACACGCAGCTCATCCTTACCTTTGCTCTCGAACTTGGGGTCCGGGAGGTTGGGCGGGGGCGCCCAGGCGGCCCCAGCGAGCAGGAGACAAAGGGAGCCGACCTGGGGCCACAAGGACCCCCCGAAGTGGTCCATGATACAGCCCCCGCCACGGGGAGCCCAGGGCTCCTGCCCCTCTGTCCCCCGCCCCTGGCACAGTCCACAGCTGGGTCAGCAGCTGCCTCCGCCGGACGCAGCTGACCAGGCCCTTCCCTACCAGGCGCCTCTAAGTGGCAGATCCCCGAGGGGGCGGGGCCAACACAGCCTGGGTAGAGATAAGTGTCTGGCGGGAGGGGGCAGGGGCCCTTCCCGGGCCCAGAGGCCGCTTGGGTGCAGGGGAGGGAGTTGGGCTGCAACACCTCCCGTTCTGGCTTCAGACATCCTTTTTTTTTGCTATGTGGCCCTGGACAGGTGACTTACCTTACCTGAGCTTCAGACTTCTCATCTGTAAAATCTAGCCTGGCACATAGCAAACATTCCAAAAAATGTATCTACTGATTTTATCGCAGAAATCAGCATCTCTTTCCAGCCTGGAAATAATTTTCTTTCTTTCTTTCTTTCCTTCCTTCTTTCTTTCTTTCTTTCCTTTCTTTTTTCTTTCCTTTCTTTCCTTTCTTTTTTCTTTCCTTTCTTTCTTTCTCTCTGTCTTCCTTTTCTTTCTTTCTTTCATCCCTTTCGTTTCTTTCTTTCTTTCCTTCCTTCTTTCTTTCTTTCCTTTCTCTCTCCTTCTTTCCTTCCTTTCTTCCTTCCTTCCCTTCCTCCCTCCCTCCCTCCTTCCTTCCTTCCTTCTTTCTTTCCTTCTTTCTCTCTCCTTCCTTCCTTCTTTCTTTGCTTCTTTCTCTCTCCTTCCTTCCTTTCTTTCTTCCCTCCCTCCCTCCCTCTCTCTCTTTCTTTCTTTCTTTCTTTCTTTCCTTCCTTCCTTCCTTCCTTCCTTTTCTCCCCTTCCTTCCTTCCTTCCTTCCTTCCTTCCTTCCTTCCTTCCTTCCTTCCTTTTCTCTCTCTCTTTCTGCCTCAGTCAGGGTGTTGCTCTGTCACCCAGGCTGCAGTGCAGTGGCACAATCATAGCTCACTGCAGCCTCTGTACTGAAGCAATCTTCCCACAGCACCTAGCTCATTTTTAAAATTCTTTGTAGAGATGGGATCCCACTATGTTGTCCAGGCTTGTC